TGCGGATATTTGAGGAGTCCCATACTAGAACGAAGAACGCAAGAGACCTCATCTGACAGTTTCTGTCTCTGTTAGAGTGATCGTTGATGTACATTGTCCGGAACTTTATGATTTTTAATGGTTGTTTAACTTACATCATTCTGTGATGTCAATCATAAAATTATAAGTTTCATGCTGAGATTAAAATAGACTTACAGGCAAATTGTTTCTGGTATAGTTTAGTTACTTGTACTGAGAGGTTTAAAATTTACAAATCTATTATTGTTTCTAAAATGAATAATACGTACGTCTTATAAACAAAGATGAATGGTGACTAGCAGTGGAATCTAGGACGCGCATTTCGTCCTAATTTGGATTCATCAGATGGATATGCCATCATCCCACACTTGTTGATGTTCACTACAAGACTCGAACACAGCTCTGTTCGCTTCAAACACAATTGCGTTATCCACATAGCTACTGAATCCTGATAATCGCTATCTTGTACAATAGAGTGAAATTTAATTTAATTTTGTATTGCTTTTTTAAATCTTCCCACTGATGTTTAACACTGTAATTGATCAGTTTCTTATTGGCATATGTGTATACTGGGTTGAAGTCCCGGAGTGGACACCAACAAGTCTTGGATGGAGGCACATCCAGCTGACGATTCCTAAATAGCACGAAACACGGATCCTGGATTCCACTACTAGCCACTATCCATCTTTGCTTATAAAGCTTATGAATTCAGGCAATATCGTGGCAATACTCACAGTATACACATATGTCAATAAGAGACTGATCAATTACAGTCCTAAGCATCAATGGAAAGATTCAAGTACAAAACAATAACGAGTGAACTAAATACGTCTGTTTTAAGTTAAATCACCCAATTAAGAGAATAAAATGTGTTTCAAAAATCTTTATTTTATTGTTCACACATCTACACTATAACTGTGAATTGAACTATCAGGTTAGATTAAGACATTTAACTGATCGTAGCGGAAACATGATGAACTACGAAAACTATCATACAGAAGGTACAACGGTTTATTTACAGTTGTCTACGCAAAATACTTCGGATGCGTTGGCCAGACACTATCACCAACAACCTACTGTTGGAGAGAACAAACCAGATCCCAAAGGAGTAAGAAATCAGAAAGAAGTGCTGGAAGTGGATAGGACACACATTGAGGAAAACACCCAACTACGTCACAAGGCAAGCCCTCACATGGAATCGTCAAAAGCAAAGGAAATCAGGAACACCAAAGAACACATTACGTCAAGAAATGGAGACAGATATGAGAAGAATGAACAAGAATTGGATAGAACCAGAAAGGAATACCCATGACACAGTGGGTTGGAGAATACTGTTGGGCGGCCTGTGCCTCATTTGGAGTAACAGGCGTAACTAAGCAAGTAAGCAAGCAAGTAACTAAGTAAGTAAATGTAACTTTTGTGTACTAATTAATGTACATCATTCATATTTCTTTGTTCGTTACCTATTAAACATTCTAATTAACAATAACAGAATGATTAATTAAAGTTTATTAGCTGGAACTATTAACCGGGATTATGTTCCAAGAATTAGTAACATCAAAATGAATTACATTTGATTCATAGAACACATTGGATTGTTTTGTTATAGTTTTTGGATTATACTTTGTATTAATGTTATTTCAATTATAATGTTAACTGTTCAATGGTTGTTTCTTCAGTATGTATAGATGATTCATCAAGTGTCCGAAAAGTATAGAATTCATTTTAAAACATGAATGTAAATTACATTACGAAATTAAGGGTATGATAGAACATGTATCATCCTATCATTTATATTTTGATATTGAAGAATTAATGATAAATTGTTTGGCTTGAATCTTCCCATTGAGGTTTAGGATTGCAATTGATCAGTCTCTTATTGGCATATGTGTATACTGTGCGGATTGCCTCGATATCGCCTTAATTCACAAGCTATTTGTAAGCAATGATGGATAGTGGCTAGCAGTGGGATCCAGTTTGACGTGCGTTTCGTCCTACTTGAGACTCCTCAGCTGGATGTATCTACATCTCAGAGTTGATGATCATTGGCTATCAGGACTCAGTAGCTGAGTGGATAACGCGATGGCGTTCGAGGCGAATGGTACTGGGTTCGAGTCTCAGAGTGAACATCAACAAGTCTGAGATGCAGGTACATCGAGATGACGAGTCCCAAATAGGACGAAATGCGCATCAAACTTGATCCCACTGCCAGCCACTATCCATCATAGACTAAATATATTCATTTCTTACTTATTAAGACCATGAATCGATCGATGTTGGACCACCGTTGGAAATCTAGAATCACTAGATGGTCGTTTCGTCCTAGTATGAGACTCTTCAGTGGTACACATCCACGATCATGCATACAAGATTCGATTCCAGAATCTATAGGTCTTGCACATGAACACTTAACATCTAGACCATTGAGCTGATATCTAATAGTATTAATATTTAAATTCTAACGATCCACAAATAGCTACGCAACTATTCATCCATTATCTGAGGTAAATATGTGTCTCTACTCGATGTGGAATGAAGTACACTAATCAATCACATAACACTGAAAAATAGAGATAGACGTGAAAAGAATAAACAACAATTGTATAGAAATAGAAAGGAAGACCCCGTACAGAGTAGGTTGTAGAATGCTGTTGAGCGGCCTATGCTCCATTGGAAGTGACAGAAGTAAGTAAGTAAGTAAGTAAGTAAGTAAGTAAGTAAGTAAGTAAGTAAGTAAGTAAGTAAGTAAGTAAGTAAGTAAGTAAGTAAGTAAGTAAGTAAGTAAGTAAGTAAGTAAGTAAGTAAGTAAGTAAGTAAGTAAGTAAGTAAGTAAGTAAGTAAGTAAGTAAGTAAGTAAGTAAGTAAGTAAGTAAGTAAGTAAGTAAGTAAGTAAGTAAGTAAGTAAGTAAGTAAGTAAGTAAGTAAGTAAGTAAGTAAGTAAGTAAGTAAGTAAGTAAGTAAGTAAGTAAGTAAGTAAGTAAGTAAGTAAGTAAGTAAGTAAGTAAGTAAGTAAGTAAGTAAGTAAGTAAGTAAGTAAGTAAGTAAGTAAGTAAGTAAGTAAGTAAGTAAGTAAGTAAGTAAGTAAGTAAGTAAGTAAGTAAGTAAGTAAGTAAGTAAGTAAGTAAGTAAGTAAGTAAGTAAGTAAGTAAGTAAGTAAGTAAGTAAGTAAGTAAGTAAGTAAGTAAGTAAGTAAGTAAGTAAGTAAGTAAGTAAGTAAGTAAGTAAGTAAGTAAGTAAGTAAGTAAGTAAGTAAGTAAGTAAGTAAGTAAGTAAGTAAGTAAGTAAGTAAGCGTTGAAGTAAGTAAGTAAGTAAGTAAGTAAGCACGTAAGTAAGTAAGCGTTGAAGTAAGTAAGGAAGTAAGGAAGGAAGTAATTCATGACTTCCCAATCAAAAAATTTATAAATGTCCACAACCCCTTACTACAAATAATGAATGTAATAATGTTTCATTTCATTATTTGAATTGCCATTTGATTGCATTATGTAATAATTAAAGAAATTAGCAATTCCATATTAAATTATAAGTATTAACCATCATTTTGTTCCGTAATTTTAAGTCTTAAGTTCTATCCAGAGTTGGAGAGAGAGAGAGAGTGAGTAGACTCGAGAGAGCGAAAGAGGGTAAGTGGGTGGGTGGGTGGATGAGAAACAGAATGAGTAGAACAGTGATTGATTCCGCCCTAGAAAATACTCTCCACTTATATATATGTATGTATGTACAATTGGTTGTCATGATGTTTCTCAAATTTTACAGTTTTTTTTTGTTTTAGTTACCAGTTAAAAAAACAATCACCAATTCTGCCAAAGTTGAAATTGAATTATTTTTATTATTATGACAGGCTACTAATTTCTTTCTCTTAAATCAATATATAAATTAATCTTCTTTACTTTTCGGAATAATTTCGAAGTTAAGTTGACTTCATGTCAAAGAGTATGCTACATCCACCTCTCATTATACTACTTATATATATGTAATTAATAGTAGTATTAATAATGGTAGTGGTAGTAGTAGTAGTAGTAGTAGTGGTGGTAGATAGCCAACTTAATTTTGGTTCATTTCCTGTTTATATAAATGATTGATAATAACAATTATAATGTATAGAACTGAATTGAGTATTGTTCACATTTACGACAATGTTATGTAGAATGAAGAAGTTATAATTGTAGTTGTAGTTGAAGTGGATATGACTGAATTGAATGGATATGTAAGTGTATGGATGTATGTAAATACAAAGCAGCTGTATGTCATCTAATGGAAAGTGTATTATAAATTTGTTAGGTTCTTTTGATAGTAGAATACTCTTTGATTTGAACAATATCTTAAATGGATTGGAATATGACTAAAAAAAGGAAGAACAGTGAACAACTAATGCATTATAGATAGAGCTGGATGGTAGGTAACAGTGGAATATAGGATCAGGATTTTGTCTTAAGTAAGACTCTTTGGCTGAATATACTTGATTATTAGAGTTCATACTTCCTTCGATGTTTGAACTCAGTCCATTATCTTGTTAACCACTTAGCGATTGAGTACACATAATCAATGTGTATACTGAGCGGGTGGCCAGACCGAAACAGTTGATTTTCTCAGAGGGACCACACCCCGAGCCTTCGACATAAAGATCTGATCCATAAGGCAGTAGAACATCGTAAGGAGATGCAGTTCAATGGCAGCCGGTGACCAACAAATGAACTATACGCCTTTTGTCCCTTCAGGATACTGGAGTTCATATTTACCATTGGTTTGGAATCAGGGTTTTCCAACTCTCTAAGGTAAAATTCCGGTGTCCATCAACCCGGTTAAAGCTCATGCCGGACATTCACTTCTTGTCCTTTCAACTTCGTTAACAACACCCATAATGTGAGATGGAAGTGAGTAGAACTTCCATGACCATTCTCATCAACAGTTTAAACCATTCAATAGAATACAAATACTTTAATGAATAATGAAATAAACTATTCATGATGAATGAATTACTCACTTTATTAAATGCTCCAATACTTCTTGAACCAGCATCATTAAACATTCTTGAATGTAATAATAATGCACGTAATGCTAAATATAATCGTCCTAACATTGGTAAAATTAATAATAAATATGGACTAAAATGATCACTTAAATGATGTATTGAATGATTACGTTTATAATTTATATAATTAGTTATTGGGAATGAATGATTAAAAAATAAATCAATACCAGGGAATGGATGAATTGAGCAAATCAATAATTCTGTAATAATTTGTATTACTCTATGCTTAGTTACACATATTCTCCAATCTTTAGTATATTCTTCACATAGAAAAACCTTTAAAACAAAAACATAAGAGAGAAGAAAGGTATCAATGAATGATGTAATACTTGAGAGGTTATTAAGAAAGATACACTAAACATCATTAATCGGGTTTAAAGACTGAGTAGTGTCTTGCTCTTGTGTGAAACGGGATTGAACTGTACTGCATAAGTGTTATATTCGGTTGTCGCTGATTGCTGTGCTGGAAAAAGCCGCTGATTGTTATGTCGGAAATGCTTATCATTTATACTCGGAACGAGGGACCTCTACAATTCTCACGACGTGAAAGTAAGAACACACAAGACTGGTATAAGTAAAGATTTATTAGCCCCAAAACACGTCGACGACGACGAATCAAAATAGTCTAAAGTACACTGGTTTATATATTGATTGTACACCCATTTTGAATAATAATTAGGATTAAATCAGATACTCAGTTATAACAAATCACTTACTGAGTATAGTTCATGTCAAGTGAATACAAGAATATCGTATATTATACGGGGATATCATACTGGGATAACAGTAACAAATACTACATTGAGTAATCATGACATTGAATGAAACATATAATCAATAAATCAATCGAATTTCGACTTGTCTTTCCATCATATCAATAGGTTAAGTTTGAGCGATATCTGGCTCTCTTGTGAAATGGAATTGAACTGTACATAAATTATTGTCTCTTAATAGAACGAAACGGCCGTCTAATACTTTCAGGTTTTCCATGATGGTGATCTAGCTTCAATTGACTCATGATCTTAACTATTGAAATTACTACAATCTCCACAAAACCCTTTTTGATACTAAACGTATAAGTGACAAGGTTAAAATGTGAATCAAGAAGAATGAATAAACTGGCTTGTCCGGAAGTCAGAATAAATTATGTGGCTTTGATATAGTAGCAGATACTACAATCTATCAAAACAACTATAAATATGAATATACAGCATTGTTAAATGACTTCGTTGTAAAGATGATTAGTGAGACTATAATTTATGAACGACCTTTGAGCGATGTTACAAATGTCAAGACAGTTCTAATGTATGGAGCGGAAACTTGTATTACTATGAAGCCATCATCTAGAAGATATAGGTGTTTACTAACAGTTGTCTATGCAAAATACTTCGGATCCGTTGGCTAGACACTATCAACAACAGCCTATTGTCGGAGAGAACAAATCAGATCCCAGAGGAGGAACATATCAGGAGGACACATTGAGGAAAACACCCACCTGCGTCACAAGGCAAGCCCTCACATGGAATCGTCAAAGCCAGAGGAGAAGAGGAAGACCAAAGAACACATTACGTCAAGAAGTGGAGACAGATATGAGAAGAATGAACAACAATTGGATAGAACTAGAAAGCAATACCCATGACACAGTGGGTTGGAGAATGTTGGTTGGCGGCCTATGCCTGATCGGGATTAACGAGAGTAAGTATGAAACCCTTTTTTGATAACAAATAAGGTGGTTCTATAGAGAAGTTGTACAGGTAGAAAAAGGATCGAACCGGTAAGGGAGCATCAGTTATCTTTTTCAAAATTACAGGTACGCCTTGTTAACGAATGCCGAATTGTGCATAATCTTGGTTCAGGGATTTTGTGTCGACCATCAGCTTACAGGTTTCGTCAAATAGAATAATCATTTTTGAATTAGTTAAAAATGAAAACTACTAACCGTGAACTAGATCTAGTTATTACTAGGTTACTAAACGACCACCATTCCATGAATTCGACCATATAGTTGATGTATTCAACTTTCATCAGTCAAAGCTTACTGTTGAAATTCTAAGTATTTATCTTAGAAGTGCAGCAATTTGGAAGACTTTTCCGGTCCCTACGCTCCATTCGGAGTAACAGGCGTAACTAACTAATTAAGTAAGTTTGAGCGACGTTAGACAGATTGAAATCTAACTATGATGGATCGGGTAGATGTATATATGTTGAATGATATTAGATATAATGTCAATGAAATTCATCCTTCTAAGCAATGAATACAATAAATGTGAACTATATTACTGACATAATCATTGAATAATATACAACAACAACAACAACAAAACGGTATTATCTACTTACCATTATATCATATGTATGATAGCATATTATAAGTAGTAGAAGAATAATTGTTGAAAAAGTAATCAAGATTCTCATAGTTGTTGAATAAATACTATTCTATAGGAATTATGAAAGGCAAAAAAGAGAATAGAAATCAAAGTATAAATAATGACTATTCTGAACTCAATAGTTAAATACTATAATTCATCGAGTATTTGAAGTGAAAGTTAAAAAAAACAAGGCTCAAGTCTTAATATTAATATCAACATTGAAGTGTTTTCATATTCAAGTTCGTTTGACTTATGTCAACTTACATCACCGCCTATGGCGAAGGCGAGATATCCGTCTATCAATTAAGGAATGACTATACTGCGCAGCAGCGTCTTTTCTCCTACTTTATGGCCGCGAAATGTGGCTATTAAGAGTAGAAGATATAAGTAAGTTACCGGAATCGCTCACATCTGCTAGGATCATCGAGTAAGTAATAGTGAGGTAAGACACAGGGTATTAGGGAATGATGGTAAATCTTCATCGACTGAGATGGTTGGGTCACGTGTTGCGTATACCTGAAAACCGATTACCACGACTAAAATGCTGGCTAGTGTTGGGAATGGTTGGAAGAAAGTTAGGAGCGGCCAAACCAAAACCTGGCATCAGTGCTTGAAGTCACTAACTTCTAGTCTGATCCATGTCGGTAGATGCAGATTACTTGGTTGGAGTCCGTGCAACTATCGTAACCAATGGTTGTAGACTCTTGGTAACATGGCTCAGAATCGATGACAATGGCGTACGTGCATGCACTGTCTGTCCTCCTTTAAACTATGAGATTAAAATTGCTTCATATCTCTCTTTCTACGAACTAATTCTTTTTGTTGTATTATATCCTTATACATAATCTTTCTTTTATATATTACTTCTACTGAATTAACTGCTTCTATGAATCCGGTGTTCATCTTGCTGCGCTAATGAGGTATTGAAACTTGGATTGATGCATATCTATGCTTGGTCTTACGTCGTAGCTGACTGACTGAACTGACTGATGAGTATAGGATAGGACGAAACAAGCAATTAGATCTCATTGCTAGTCATTGTGAAATAATAATTGAAAATGCTTATCATTTAATGTCTATTTCGAAGCAATTCATATAGGATACTTAAAAAGTGAATTGTGGTTGTACGTTACAATCTTAAGCATTGACAATGGTAAGATTCAATCTACAAAAGTGAGTTAAAATTATGCTCAGTTTATATTATCTGATAATAATTGGTATCACAATGTGAATTGAACTTGAATATACCTCTTATTTTTTTTAACATCTCATCAGTTAAACTGTTTACACTTATAGGGCCAGTGAAATGTCACTGAAACTTAGCCAAATCATCCGGCAGTTGGGTCACTGAATATCGATCAGATCATCAATCCCTGCCAATGTCGAGAACAACAAACGTGCATCAGTTGTTCGTATGCCATGAACCGGCCTATAGAGTGGTGGTCTCATTATCTTCTTTGTACTCGTTCTTACTAATATGTCTCCATAAAAGAGTCCTTTGTGTTGTATTGTGTTCAAAGCATCCACAGTACCTTGATACGACGAAGGGGTAATCGACGTTCAGCGCTGACCGCCTGATGTGATTTCGACGTTAGCTGCTGGTCACAGCATCTCTGTCTAACTCTGTCTAACTACAATCCATCTATTCTAAGTGTATTCTTTCAAACTACTTCGTGAAATAAACATGTTATATCTATATCAGAACAACAAACGAAATATCAATAGAATTGTCAGAATATAATTCAGGTTAACAAAAAGCTAACATATTTGATTAGACAAAAGAAACAAGAACCGAATGTGTCATTAATATCTGATATTTCAGAAGCGTTTTCTTTGTCTACTTGTTTATCCATTATTCTTTCTCACCTACTATCTTCCTTTATTTCTTCCTCTCTACGTATCCTAATAATGGTATTCGTAACGGTTTCAATAGTCTGTTGGTTTTTTCAATCTACTGGTTACTTTACTTATAATTACGTTCAGGGGCCTAAATTATAAATCATGATGATAATAATTATTATTTGTTCACCATTGACTGACTTCAAGAAGTATTTCTTGGAGTTCTGGTGAGAAGCCGTGACCAGAGGAGTTTAACCAGGTCTGTTGTGAGATAATAAGTCATTGGAGACTATGGTGGACGGTCGCGCAATTTCGTGAGTTCATTGAAGTTAGACACACAGTTGACCTGAACTTGACTTTCATTATGTAATTCTGTATAACCAAACCAATTGTTTTATGTTGACCAAACGTGACATGTGTCTCAAAACTAATTTCATATTTAATTAGTGGAGTAGAAAAATGATTGATTAGATAAGAATTGTTAAGTAGGTTGCTTGATATCTTGGAAATGTACCAAATACATTTTGAATTATCAGAAAGGAGTACACACAAATGCCCTGGTACAGTTGAGGTTAGGGAGAGTTCGCTCTCCCTCTACAAATGCTCTCATGTGAACAAGTGTATACAGCCACTGTCAAGGAAGTCCCATTCACTGCCTTCTCATGACGCCGGTGTAGTTTACGAAATTGAGTGGATGGAAAGCGAATGTCGAACTCTTTAACCAGGTTTCAGGATATAGACGATTCACCTAGAAGCGTTGGAAAAACCTGACACCAAAACAATATTGAACATAGGCTTTAGTATTCTGAAGGAACAAATGGTGCATGATTTATTCGTTGACCCCCGGCTACCATGAAATTGCATCCCCATACGTTGCTCCACTACCTTCTGGATCAGACCGTTAAGTCGAAGGCTCCGGGTGTGGCTCCTTAAGAAAACCACCTGCTTCGGTCTGGGCACCCAGTCAGTATCACAGCCCACTTACAAATCAAGTGACTTGTATGGCACACATATATATATATACCGGTGTCTATTCCTTACCATTATGTATGTATTCAAATAAACTAAAATAAAACAAAATATAACTTACTTTATTATACAATGATCTTGAAATGAATTCAATATCAAGAAATGCTGCCAATATACCAAATATACTAAATGCTAATGCAAAATCAGCCATTCTTCTACGACTTTCTAATAAACGACGCCTTCTACCAAGATGATAACCAATACCTTTAGATAATTTATCAGTTAAACGACGTTCTTTTTTAAATTTATTAGAGAATAATGAATTTTTATTTAATAAATTATTTGTTTCATGATTTAATGTTTGTTTTAATGGATCTAAATAATCATTGGATTGAATGAGTTCAATAGAAGGTTTACTTTTCTTCAGTATAGGACTACCATCATCATCATTATCATCATGAATAGGGTTTGTATGTTCTAGCATATCATTTGGATTATTCTTCTTTAATTGAATTGTAGATGATCCAGAACTATTCCTGAAATGATATAGATATGAAGACATATAAAGAGTGAAGTAATGAATGTGAAATGCTAATTGTTCAGTATAATAATTTGAGGATCAGATTGCCTGGAATTTATTGTTTGTTCGGTTATTAGAATGATGTTGTAGTGAATGAGAACATTTCATAATGAAATCGAACACTCAGTGGTTAAGTGAATAATGAAATGATGTTTGAAATGAAAGGTATTGGGTTCGAGTCCCACAATGAACATCAACCTCTGGAATGCAGGTACATTCAGTTAACGAGTTTCAAATAAGATGAAGTGATTCTTGTCCTTTAAATTTTTTTTCTATTTCAAAAATGCATTTTATATAGCTAATCTTTTGTGTTACTGTACTGAATGAGAACACGAGTGAGGTCAACCATATACACGTAAACAGAATCACTTAGTAAAATCTAAGAACCATACAGTAAACGCTATATGCGAAAAATGCCAGTCAATTGTCTCAGACTTCATTGTTCCTTCGTTTCCACACTAATCATTCACTGTTCTCGTTCTCTTCTCTTCGATCTTCTTAACCTTCTGTTGTCAGGTATTTCACTTTCGATTGATGATACATACAACTTATATCTGTCGAAATCAGTAGCACACACCACAGTGTGAATTTGATATGAAATGTTCGTTTACTTTTCCGAACTATTGATTTCAGTAGTTGAGATCATGAGTCAATTGAAGCTAGACCACCATGGAAAACCTGGAAGTACTGGACGGGCAACTGATAGGTCCTGGGTTCAAACCCCGCGAGGCAAGATCGTGGATGTACACAGCTGAGGAGTCCCACACTGGGATGAAACAGCCTTTCAGTGGTTCTTGTTTTTTCATGATGGTCTAGCTTCAATTAGCTCATGATTTCAACTATTAAAATTACTATAATATCCATAAATCTCCTTCTGATATTAATCAACATATGCTCACTAGTGACGGTTTCCAAGAGGTATTTTCTTGGAGTTCTGGTGAGAAGCATCGACCAGTGGAGTTCAACAGGGTCTGTTGTGAAAAAGTAACTCACTGAAGACAATGATGGATGTGTCACTCAATTTCGTGGATTAGTTGAAGTTAGACATTAACACCGCTCAGTGGTCCAGACGTTATGCGTTCGCGTGCAAGACCGACAGGTTCTGGGTTCAAGTCTCGCGAGGCAGGATCGTAGGTGAGCACTACTGAGGAGTCCCACAATAGGACGAAACGGCCGTCGAGTGATTCTTGGTTTTTTCATGATGGTCTAGCTTCAATTGACTCATGATCTCAACTATTAAAATGACTATGATATCCATAAAACCTCTTCTGAAATATATTTTGCTGACAATTCTATATTATGAGACGGTGGAGAAGATTTGTAGCTCAGGTGGATGATTTGGTCGTGGAGCTTTCATCGTTCTTCTGAACGACATCATCAGCACAAACTTCAGATAGAAGTGATGTGCTGATGATGTCGTTCAGAAGAACGATGAAAGCTCCACAACCAAATCATCCAGCTCAGAGAACAAAACTCCACCAAAATTCTATATTATATCAAACATATAATATTGAATAAAGCCAATAATAATAATAATTCCACGGTTCTTCTGTTTTTCTTTGAAAAAATCTTTCCCAAAGTTCTTTTTTTTTCAGTTTTTTTTCAATTTGCACTCATTTCGTTTTATTTTTTGTCACGAACCGAAGTTAATCGTTACGACCTCAAAACATAACAACTAACCAACCAACAAACAAACAAACAAAACAAAATATTGGATATTGATTTATTAAACAAAATATTGACACATAAACTATACCATTGAAATTATATCTAAGTGGGAGGTGGGGGAGAAATGACGGGTGGTGGTGGCGAAGGTCATCTACATTTTATCATCAATGTACATGAAAAAAAATTGATGTCAACTCTTTTTTTTCTCTTTAATTCTTTTAAACTATTATAGAATGAATATTTAAAGAAAAAAATAGAAAGAAAATAGTTCGGCCCTTTAATTCATTCAACCATTTCATTATATCAATCAGTTTCTTTCACAGATTTATAGAGAAAAAAGAAAGAAAAAGAGAAACAGTAAGAGAGGGGGTGGGAGTGAGTTAGGTAAGGAGGGGAAGAGGTGAATAAGGTGATGGGGAGAGAAAGAGTTTAATTTATTATAAAGAAAGACATGCCCTAGTAACTGTGATTATATAAAGGATTACAATGATTCATTGGAAGAAGAACTATTACATTAAATACAATAATACGAAATCTAGAATAGAATATTAATAACATATTGAATTAGATTGTTGTAATGAACAAATGTTTAATGAGTTAAAGTGTAAGTAGTTGATAATATGGATTTTCTACTTTCATCTTAGTTACAACTAAAACACATTTTAATTCACTTGGTATTGTTTGGCTTGTATCTTCCCATTGAGGTTTAAGACTGCAATTGATCAGCCTGTTATAGGCATATGTGCATACTGTGCGTATGCCTTGATATTGACTTAATTCACAAGCTATTTGTAAGCAATGATGGATAGTGGATAGTAGTGGAATCCAGTTTGACGGGCATTTCATCCTATTTGGGTCTCGTCATCTGGATGTACCTGGATCTCAGACTTGTTGATGTTCACTCTGGGACTCGAATCCAGTACCATTCGCTTCAAACGCCATCGCGTTATCCACTCAGTAGCTGAGTGGATAATAATAAGTAATTATATGACTTATTAAAGTTAATTATATTTGAAAATGAAGTTTTTGTAGAGAATATCATAAATTCAATCGTTACATTCATGGGTCGATTGAATCTAGACTATTCGGAAACCATTTAGATGATTTGAACTTCTTAGATGATCTAGACCTACTATCTCATACATATGAATAAATGCAGATGAAGAAAAGTAGTGTAGCAGTAATCTCTACATAAGTAGGTTTCAACTTATATTAAGGAAAAAGCAAGATCCTCAATTACAACATGAAGAACACTAACCCAATTATACATGATCGCGAAACTCTGGAAGATGTGGAATCCTTCATGTATCTGGGAAGCATCATCGATGAACAGGGAGGATCAGATGTGGACGTAAAGGCAAGGGCCATATTAGTACAATTGGAGTATGTATGCAACTCAAAACAACTGTCTGTCAACCAATATCAAAGTCACAATCTTCAATACGAACGTCAAGACGGTTCCACTGTATGGAGCTGAAACATGGAAAACTACTACAACCATCATCAAGAAGGTGCAAGTACTTACAAATAGTTGTCTACACAAGATACTCAACATTCATTGGCCGGATAACATCAGAAACAGTCTACTGTGAAAGATAACAAACTAACCTCCAGCTCAAGAGGAAATTAGGAAAAGATGATGTAAATGGATAGGATATACATAACGGAAATCACCAGACTGCATCATGAGGAAAACACTAATTTGGAATCCTGAAGAGAAGCGGAAAAGAGGAAGGCCAAAAAACTCATTACATCAGGAAATAGAAGCAGATATGAAGAAGATGAATAGCGACTGGAAAGGACTGGGAAGTATGGCCTAATACAGGGTTGAATGGAGAGTGCTTGTGAGCGGCCTACGTTCCTCCACGAAGAGTAACAGGCGTAAGTAAACAAGTAAGTAAGTAAGTAATCAAGGGTTTAATTCTTTACGAATCTTACCATATCATCAATTGTATTATTCAATCCTATATTTATGATTGATTCAGTACATAGATGGGTTTATTAATGACCATTTTTGAAGGCTTAAATCAATAAGTTTAAAGATGGTTGACTAATTTCCTGATTTGATTAAAGTTAGAATTGTACATCACTGGATATCGGTACAGTAGTCTAGAGTTTAAGTTTTGCTCGCGAAACTGAAGCCATAGGGCTGGATTCTCAGGTTATGTGTCGTGAATAGAGACTACAGAGAGGTCTTCTATCACAACAAAACAGCGGTCGAGATTTAACTATTTAGATATTGGTATGAACACTTTATAATCAAGAAACTTTATCGTGATAATATTAAAACTTTGTTTGAATTCAATTCATCATTGAGTAGGATCTTAAGTGCCTTCATTGTAACCCATATACTATTTAATAAAGAACTTAGATACGTGATGCCGTCATTCTCTTGGATTTCAGTGGTTAAACAAACACTAATTTTTACATTTAAAGTAAAATAGGATGAGACTATAATTTATGGATAACCTCTGAGTCACTATAGACTGAACTTTAAAGTTTTGACCTAATAACTAGGACCAAATGAGGGTTATAAACCTGTGTAAGAAATTAGAATTACAGTTATGGTTAGTGATAGGGATTATATTTAGCGTTTCCATGACGAATTGACATCAGTTAGAATGCTGAAATTCTATTTAGCCAAATGGATGAGTGAATTTCACGCCAAAACTCGAGATCTGTTATCTTGTACATGATTGGTTCGTCCATAAATTATAGCCTCACCCTTTGGACTTCTTTTTCTACGTTTCTCTTCAGCATTCCAAGTTAGTGCATACTTCGTGGTGCAGTTTGGTAATTTGCTCAATGTATGTCCTATCCACTTCCATCGTTTTTCCCTAACTTCCTCTTTAACTGGAAATTGATTTGTTCTCGCCCATAGTAAGTTGTTGATAATAGTATCCGGTCAACGGACGTTGAATAACTTACGTACACAATTGTTTATAAATACTTTTACTTTCGATGGTGTTTCTCATAGTTCCCCACGTTTCAGCCCCCCCCCCAAGTGAGGGATTGCCTTGTGATGCATTTGGGTGCTTTCTTCAATATGTGTCCTATCCACTTTCAGCGCTTCTACTTGATTTGCTCCTCTACTGGGATCTGATTTGTTCACTCCCACAGTAGTTTATTGCCGATAGTGTCTAGCCAACGGATCCAAAGTAACTTGTGTAGACAGCCGTTAATAAACACTTGTGTCTTCTGTATGATGGTCTTCGTAGATCTCCAGCTTTCCGCCACATACAGAAGAACTGTCTTGACATTTGTATAGAAAATTCTCACTTTGATATTGGTTGACAGTTGTTTTGAGTCCTAGATGTTCCTCAGCTGTAAATATGCCGCTCGTGTTTTGCCAATCCGCGCCTTCACATCTGCATCAGATCCACCGTGTTCGTCAAAGTTGCTGCCCAGATACATCTTTCAAATCTTCTCCATCAAGTGTGATTCGATTGTTGCATGTTGTGTTGTATCGGAGAATCTTGCTTTTCCCTTTGTGTATATTGAGACCTACTGATGCTGAGGCTGCTGCCACGCTAGCTGTCTTCTCCTGCATTTGTTTTTGTGTGTGCAATAAAAGAGCCAGATCATCTGCGGAGTTTAGATCGTCTAGCTGCATCCTAGATGTCCACTGTATCCCATGCTTCTCCCCAGAATTTGACGTCTTCATAATCCAGTCGATCACCAGGAGAAAGAGTAAAGATGAGAGTAAACTACCTTGCCAGACACCGGTCTTTACTTCGAACGAGTCTGTCAACTATCGCAGTTTAATCCATCATAGGAATTTCGTATGATACGGACTATATTCTCAGGCACTCCGTCTTGTCGAAGAAACCTCCATAGTCTTGTCCTATTCACTCTATCGAACGGTTTGTCGTAAGAAATCTAAAAGATGAAAGTATCTTTACATACATTAAACTAAATTATCATTTGTAAAATAATTCTATTCATTTTTGTAAAATATATATAACTTACAATTTAGGTATGACAGTTTCATTACTATCATTATATTGATTAGATGAATGTGTTGTTATCATATCTTGTCTATTCTGTTGCAATATCATTGATACTCTTCTTATACGTAAAGATAATTCACAATCACTACTTAAACTTTTATTGATTTGTGGTAGTTTTGGTACATGTAATGATATAATATTCATGGAATCTGGATGATTTCCTAAAAGGGGAATACTTTCATTATATTGATGATTAGGTAATTCTAAATTAGTTGAATGATATTTTAATGGAGGTTTCTGATTCTAGAAGAAAAACAAATAAAAAAATATCATGAATGATGAAATGAATTCATTAATATTTAGTTATAAATCAATAGACAATAACACTAGATGGTGGTTGGAGGTAGTCGACAGGAAACCCTGGACCCGGGTTTCGTGCTACTTGGCATTCGTAAGCAATGTGTCGCGGCTCGGATAGCTCAGTGGTAAGGTCTCTGACTGTGAAGCTGGGTGACACGAGATCGAATCCGCCAGGGAGCACCAGTTCCCTCAAGATTACAGGTACACCTTGCTGACGAGTGCCAAGTAGCACGAAACCCGGGTCCAGGGTTTCCTGTCGACTACCTCCAACCACCATCTAATCTCATTATATAGTGCCCGCAGTGTCGAGTCACCTAGACTAGTGGCCACATTGCAGCATGATCGTTAGCATTCGATCTGCACTAAATAAGAACTTGACACACATGACATTGATCACCACTCAGTGATCAATCAACTGTGAGACAATAACACTGTTGGATGCCAGTCAGGTCAGTTTTCTAATGGTTAAGAGATCGTGAGAGAAACCGATAAGTCCTGGGTTCGAATCTCATAGAGTGAGATGGTAGATATGCACTGCTGAGGAGTTCCATAGTAGGATGAAATGGTTGTCCAATGATTTCAGGTTTTCCATTGTGGTCTAGCTTCCAACGAATCATGAATTCAACAATTTAGATACATATGAAAAGAACCAATCAGATTAAAGATAGTAGATCTCGGATTTTTTGGCGCGGAATTCATTCATCGATTTGTTTAAAGAGTGTTTTGGCATTTTAGTTAATGCCAGTTCATGATGAAAAACCTTTAAATCTAATTTCTAAAATCTAACCATCCACTATAAATCCTAATCCTTATTCTTCAAGCCATTTTAGAACCCTCATTTAGTTCTAGTTGGTAGGTGAACATTCTGAAGGTCACTTGAGCGTCGCCCAAGCGTCATTCATAAATTATAGTGTCACCGAATTTCCACTGAACAACTGAAGTTATACAGATATTTTAAAGAAAGTGACTTATGAAGCTGTTAAAATCGAGATATAATAAAGTACTTTAACGCAAACTGGCTAACATTATCGTGTTCTATAAATATGTGGAACATCATTAAAAGTGATGCCCACAAATGCGCTGGTACGGTTGAGAATGGCGAAAGTTCGCTCTGACTCTCTAAATGATCTCACATAGCCACGCATACACAGCCATTACCAGGAAAGTCCTACTCACTGCCTTCTCACACTATGGGTGTTAATTACAAAATTCAGAGGACGAAAAACGAATGTCCGTCAGGAGCTTTGATCAAGTCGGTGGATATGAGGGGTTCCCCCAGGGGAGTTGGAAAACCCTCATTCCAAACTAATGATGCACATAAGCTCCAGCATCCTGAAGGGACAAATGACGTATGAACCAACTGTTAGTCATTGTCTACAATAGGACTACATCTACTACTCTATGATTCATTATGATAATCTGGTAGTGTTGTGTGTGCTACTGATTTCAACAGATATAAGTAGCATGTATCACTAATCGAAAGTGAAATGTCTGGTGGCAGAATATTAAGAACATTGAACAAGGGAGAAAGAGAACAGTGAATGATCGGTGTGAAAATGAATGAGCAATGTAGTCTGAGACAAATGATGGATACTTTGCAATTGAAGTATTTACTGTAAGATTCTCAGATTTTTCTCAAACTATTCTGTAATCTTGTATTCTAATACATTCGACTGTTCCCACTTGTGTTTTCGCTCACTACATTACTACCACCACTACTACTACTACACACACACACACGCGCACACATATACACAGGAACAAATAAACACTATTAGTGTTTTCACAGACAATGCAATTGAAACATTCAACAGAATGAAAAAAAACACAACAAAACGATGCATCACCATCATCGGCTGTACGAAATTCTTTCCTGTTTTAAACAGCTATGTTTTTCTTTCTTTTTCTTTTTATTATTATTAAGCTCAAACAAACAGTCGGTTGCCATGGCTGAGCATTCGTTTTGTGTTCCTTTTTCGACATACATAGAAACAAAAAGTTTGCTTGTTTGTTTGTTTCTTTGTTTTCTTTTTTTTCGATTAAAATTTCATTTCAACTCAAACTGAAATACAAGTGAAAATGTTACAGTTTGGTTGTTTTAATGAATTACATAAACGGAAATTAATCAATAATAGATTGTATTGTTTAATCATGAGAGGATAATGTCAAGTGTAAGCATTGGACCTACAAAATATTCCTCCTGTACATTACTACTCATACATTTCAACTACTACTACTACTACTACTACTACTACTACTACTACTACTACTACAGTGATGTATGTGCTACTTATATTGACATAAGTAGTATATGATGTTAGTCGTGAACAGAAAGTCGGGAAGCAGAGAGACAAGAGGATCGAACAGTAAAGAATGGAAACAGGATGCAATTTGAATGAAAGTGCAAGAACAATGAAGTCTGAGTCATTATGAGACAATTGATGGACATTTTGCAAATTAAGTATTCACTATATGATTGTTAGATTTTATGAACAAGTCCTGTAAGCGTGTGTTAAATGCATCCGATTGTTCCCACTGGTGTTCTTGTTCACTACGCTACTACTACTATCAACACTATTATTGCTACTACTACTACTACTGTGATGTGTGCTACTTATATTGATACAAGTAGTAAAAGAACGTAATGTCTGGCAGCAGACGATGGGTGAAGATCAAGAAAAGAAGAGCAAGAACGCAATGCAATTTGAAAAAAAACGCATGAACAATGAAATGTAAGACGATGGATTGATGTTTGCAGCAGGAAAGGTCCGGTTTGATAAGATGGATTAATATTTTGCAAATTGACTATTTACTATATGGTTTTTCTATTTTATCAACTAACTCTGTAATTTTCTGCTAAATGCATCTCGGTTGTCCTTACCTGTGTTCTGTTCGCTACACTACTACCACCGCCACTACAACTATATATATATATATATATATATATATATATATATATATATATACATTCACAGGAAATTATAAACAAAGTTATAAGCAAAGACGGATAGTAGCTAGCAGCGGGGTCTAGTTTGACGCGCGTTTCGTCCTATTTTGGACTCCTCAGCTGGATGTACCTGCATCCGAAACTTGTTGATGTTCACCCTGAGACTCGAATCCAGTACCTTTCATTTCAAACGCCATCGCATTATCCACTCAGCTACTGAGTCCTGATAGCCAGTTGCTTGTGCAATGGAGTGATGTGAATATAAACAAAATTGTGTTTTTTTAAAGGTGAAGCAGCTGAAAGGTTCAACTTAATAAACGTCAGTTTGTTTACATGTTCTTTTTTTATTGTTAACTTGTTAAAGTGATGTCGGAATAACCGAGAAGTTGTGAGTCAAACAAAATTTATAGATTGGTTTTCAATGTTATATCAAACTTATTGAATCCAATAATGGTAATATTCTGTGATATATTACCTGAAATTGTTTAATTATATTCTCAATATAGAGATTTCTGTAGACTGTAGTATTTTATTAGTGAATCATAGCTAGACAATCAATGAAAACTTGAAAGCATTGAACTACTGTTTTGTACTAGTGTGGAACTCCACAGAAGTATACATTCACGATTGCACACTTGGGACTCCAGACCAGGAGCATTGATCTTGTGCACAAGTTTGTGAATGATCCCCCCCTATACTCCAAGGTTTTCTATGGTGGTCACTCATGAATTCAACAGATAAAATACTACGATCTCTACAAATCTCCATACCGATAATAAGCATGTGTACATTAGTAACTAGCTTCAAGATAAATAAAAATAATATATTTGTAATATCCCAATGAGTAGAAAATTGGATTTTCTGACGTTTCGTGGCTTAGTGTAAGTCACTTCTTCAGAGAATAAATAACCAAATTAAATTAATCCAAGTTTAAATAGTACAACGGAACAATGCAAGAATAATATTTGATCAAATATTATTCTTGCATTGTTCCGTTGTACTATTTAAACTTGGATTAATTTAATTTGGTTATTTATTCTCTGAAGAAGTGACTTACACTAAGCCACGAAACGTCAGAAAATCCAATTTTCTGCTCATTGGGATATTACAAATATATTATTTTTATTTATAACAATCAACCCAATGCTCAATTTATTCGAAATTATCAAATCAAACCTTGGTAATGACACCTAGCTTCAAGATAGATTTTTTGGAGTTCTCGTAAGAAGGCATGACTACTGGAGTTCAATGACATTCATGTGGAGAGAGTCATTCACCTCAGACAATAGATGAAAGGTTGTGCAATATCATAGATATTTGGATACCGGCTCAGTGGTCTAGAGGTTTAACTTTCTCGTATGAGTCCAGATGTCCAGGGTTCGAGTGCTCAAGTATGAGATCGTGGATGTCAACTGCTGAGAAGTCTCCTACTAGAACGAAACAGTTGTATAGTGCTTCCAATATTTCAATGATGGTTTAACGAACATCCATTCGTGAGTTCAACTGTTAAAAAGTCCATCCTCATGATTTTGTTCAAGAGAACGTTGAAAGCTCCACGACCAAACGATTCAGTTCAGAGAACAAAATTCCATCAACATTCAACTGTAAATTATATTCAATAGTAATTTAACCTTTAAACTATTAGTTCGTTTGAACAAATTCAAAAGAAAAACTTCCTTCTCGATGAGTTGCTTTTCAATTTTCTACATCGATTTCATGACGTTCAAAAAGTCTTTTAGTTAAGCTAACTTCACTTGTTGCCGAGGAATATGTACATGAATGTTTATACGAATGACTCTGTCACAAAATCGTTGCAATATTATTGATAAAGTAAAGTCATCTTGAAGTAATCTTCATGTAATTCAATGGGTATGTAATGTTTAAAAAGAAGGAACTTAATGGGGACAAGTGATTTATGGTTGTTTACAGTGTAAAACACTTCATTAATCTCCTTACACCATATACAAACGATCATTGACGTATATAGAGAGAAAGT